CTATCCATATTGGATTTATGATGCTCGATTTATCATAAACGATTATATATTACTTCTATCAGAAACACATTAAATGTAAATTTGGGGATTCAGCAAAACTCATATATACCGATGCAGATAGCTTATTCTATCTGTTTCAAGTACCAAATATCTGAGTCTATAAAATAAGACATACACATGTTCGATACATCTGACTATAAAGAGAATAATGAATATAGAATGCCCCTCGCAAACAAGGAAGCATTAGGACTCATGAAGGATGAGAATAATGGTCGAATCACGGTTGAATTTGTTTACGAGCAAAAACATACCCATTTAGGATGTTGACTGATGAGAAAGCTAAGAAGAAACCTGAAGGTGTTAAAGCTGCTACACTCAGGAAAAGCACATTCAATGATTTTTTTTTGGTAATGAGTACATTATCAGAAATCAGTATTGAATCCAGAGCAAAAAACATGAGGTGCACACAATCTGCTAGCAGAAGATGGTTTTGAGTTGGGAAGATAATAAATGTATGATTTCACTCCATACAACAGATACTCTACCTTGGGGTTATTTCGAACAACTTGTGTAATTATATATATATTCTCAGATTGTTTCTCATAATAACAATAGTAATGGTAATAACGTACACATTTGAATAAATAAATAAACTTTTTCAACATTTAACGAAGCGTTTTTATTGCTTTATGTATACTTGTTTTCTTACAATTATCATACAGTTATCTTAAATATATTCCGTCTATGTTCTTCTGATAATATAGCATTCAATATTCTTTCATGAACACTTATTCAATGTTTGAGATCATGATTTCGAGCAATTTTCTTCCGTGAGAAAATACGGTGGAACTAAGCTGATCTTATTATTATACACATCCTTTTCTCATAAAACATAACTTAGAACTATGTGAAACGAGTTTCAAAAAGAGTTTGTCTATGTTGTTTTGATAATATATGGTTCAATATTTCTTGACATGAACTTATTCGACGTCTGAAATGATCATGATCTCGAGCAATCTACGAGTTGAGATTCAGTAAACTGAACTTGACTTTGTATTCAGTGTGGATCATGCAGAGTACGCGAGTTATCCCCACTCCAACTCCCAATGGATGATTCATCATGGATCAGTCGGGAATCATCGAGAATATTCGCGACCAATCGAGTATCCTATTTCATACAAGTCCCAACAGGACTAAGGGGGAGCCCCCACCGCGAAAACGTCATCCTTCTCGAATGTACAAGTCTCAGCAGGACTTACGGGAAACCCCCACCTCGCACATCGATCAGTTATCAGTCTGAGTGGCTCACCGATATCATTCATCTTGACAATATTCGACCATTGTTTTCACATATTTGCACGTGTTTGCATAGGTTTGTAAATCTTGTCCAATGTTTGCAAATGTTTGCAGAATGCAAATGTTTGCAGAATGTTTGCAAATGTTGTCAAATGTTTGCAAATGTTTCCAAATGTTTGCAAATGTTGTCAAATGCTGGCAAAATGTTTATTATATTAATGTTCATTATACAATATTAAATATTGTCAAATGTTTGCAAAATGTTTGCAGAATGTTCGCAAATGTTTACAAAATGTGTGCAAATGCCGTTAAATATTTGCACATGTTTAGAACTTATGGGAAGTTCCCCCACCGTACAAGTAAATGAGTCATCAGCCTGAGTGACTCATCGATGACGTCATTCATCTCGAAATCTCCGCGATTTTGGCGGCAATATCCAATTTTATCCATGTTTCCACAGGTTTTCATAGTATTATATTTCATACAAGTTCTACCAGGATGGTTCCTCCGCCATGCGAGTCGATAACTGATCGATGACGATATCCGTCTCGAGCCTTCAGCGACGGTGGCGCCAATATTCCATTTCATGCAAGTTTCAACAGGTCATCATACAAGTCCCAACAGGTCTTAGAGGGATTCCCCCACCACGCGAGTCGATGAGTCATTCGTCTAGAAAATTCCATGACAGTGGCGCCGCCACTAGTATCATATTCCATACAAGTCCCAACAGGACTCAAGAAGTACCCCCACCACGCCCCCGAGTTGATGAGGTGACTCATCGATGACGTCATCCGTCTAGAAAATTCCGCGTCGGTGGCGCCGCCACTAGTATCATATTCCATACAAGTCCCAACAGGACTCAGGAAGTACCCTCACCACGCCCCCGAGTTGATGAGGTGACTCATCGCTGATGTCATCCGTCTAGAAAATTCCGCGACGGTGGCGCCGCCCGGTGGCGGCGAGGAGCTTTGATACAGAACCCGCTTAGTCTGACTACTACGCTGATTGATTGAAATGAAAAAGAAGGACATTATTCGAAAAATTTGAAAAATTCCTCGGATTTTGTCAACAATTTCACAAAAATTTCGAAGTTTAAAAAAAATGCACAAGCATTTCGGGATTTTATAGAGAATTTGAAAAAATTGCATCGTCGAATAAAATTGTGAAAAAGATCATGAATGCAGAGAAGATACTTCGAATCAGCAAAAAAGCATCAGAATCAATCATGAAATTTTTCCAACAAAATTATCGATTGCTTTTGTGAAGAAATAAAGTGGAATCAAGAGGGTGGCGAAGACTAAAAAATTCGGCGTTTTGTNACGTGTTTGCATAGGTTTGTAAATCTTGTCCAATGTTTGCAAATGTTTGCAGAATGCAAATGTTTGCAGAATGTTTGCAAATGTTGTCAAATGTTTGCAAATGTTTCCAAATGTTTGCAAATGTTGTCAAATGCTGGCAAAATGTTTATTATATTAATGTTCATTATACAATATTAAATATTGTCAAATGTTTGCAAAATGTTTGCAGAATGTTCGCAAATGTTTACAAAATGTGTGCAAATGCCGTTAAATATTTGCACATGTTTAGAACTTATGGGAAGTTCCCCCACCGTACAAGTAAATGAGTCATCAGCCTGAGTGACTCATCGATGACGTCATTCATCTCGAAATCTCCGCGATTTTGGCGGCAATATCCAATTTTATCCATGTTTCCACAGGTTTTCATAGTATTATATTTCATACAAGTTCTACCAGGATGGTTCCTCCGCCATGCGAGTCGATAACTGATCGATGACGATATCCGTCTCGAGCCTTCAGCGACGGTGGCGCCAATATTCCATTTCATGCAAGTTTCAACAGGTCATCATACAAGTCCCAACAGGTCTTAGAGGGATTCCCCCACCACGCGAGTCGATGAGTCATTCGTCTAGAAAATTCCATGACAGTGGCGCCGCCACTAGTATCATATTCCATACAAGTCCCAACAGGACTCAAGAAGTACCCCCACCACGCCCCCGAGTTGATGAGGTGACTCATCGATGACGTCATCCGTCTAGAAAATTCCGCGTCGGTGGCGCCGCCACTAGTATCATATTCCATACAAGTCCCAACAGGACTCAGGAAGTACCCTCACCACGCCCCCGAGTTGATGAGGTGACTCATCGCTGATGTCATCCGTCTAGAAAATTCCGCGACGGTGGCGCCGCCCGGTGGCGGCGAGGAGCTTTGATACAGAACCCGCTTAGTCTGACTACTACGCTGATTGATTGAAATGAAAAAGAAGGACATTATTCGAAAAATTTGAAAAATTCCTCGGATTTTGTCAACAATTTCACAAAAATTTCGAAGTTTAAAAAAAATGCACAAGCATTTCGGGATTTTATAGAGAATTTGAAAAAATTGCATCGTCGAATAAAATTGTGAAAAAGATCATGAATGCAGAGAAGATACTTCGAATCAGCAAAAAAGCATCAGAATCAATCATGAAATTTTTCCAACAAAATTATCGATTGCTTTTGTGAAGAAATAAAGTGGAATCAAGAGGGTGGCGAAGACTAAAAAATTCGGCGTTTTGTGAAATTTAATAATTATTGTTTTGCACTCTGAATGGAACTTCGATTATGATTATAGTTACAAGCTCATTCAGTGAATACAGAGTTAGTGAATTACTTATTGCAATTGAAGAGGTGATGAACCGTGAAGCATTGTTTCCATTAATCTTCACACTCAGTATAATAAGACGATGGTGATTCATCAATTTATGAAAAACTCACAAGGAAAAACACGAGAAAAGGCATTATAAAAGGCATCAACGTCGCGGCTGCGGCGGCGCTAGTATCTCAATAAAATAGACTGTATAGAAAAATCGAATTCGATTGATTTTGTCTATCGAATATTATTCATTGACCATTTTTATTGTGGTGACTGTGTTTCCATCATACCTCCACATATGAAAAAATCCTATGGAGAATTCGAACATTTCCCATAGGATTTTCCGGATAGGATTTCTTATAGGATTTCATATGAGATTTTAAATAGGATTTCCTTTAAAATTTTGGGGCGTAAGGGTCACAATGAGTGTCATACGTATCACATGGGGGTTATATAGGGATTATGTGGCGGTCATATGAAGGTCATTTGATCCTCGTACGTCCTCATGTTACCCTCATGTGACGCTTACATAACCCATATATGACTCTTGTATGACTCCTACATGATCCCCATATGACACCCATATGACATCTATAGGATCCTTATACGACCCCCATATGACTCTTTTTGACCCTTATTTGACCCTTATGACCCTAAATTTCATAGGAAATCCTATTGAAAATCTTATAGAATATCTTATAGGAAATGCTATTTGAAAAATCCTATAGAAAATGTTCGAATTCTCCATAGGATATCCTATAGGATTTCGTATAGGAAATACGAAAACCCTAGGTAGGATTTTCTAGGGTCGTATAGGAAATCCTATGGGAACTCCTATAGGATTTTTCCATACGTGATCTGCTTAAAATATTCATTCACAAAAACCGTAAAAAATTTCTGAGGAACATTTCCCTGAATTTATGTAAATTCCTAAAATGACTCCATCCGATACAATTTTCTGACGAATTCGCTAGGTTTTTCATCAAAGAAAGATCTTGGTTGTTTTTCTAAAATTCAAGCTCAACATAAATTCTGTATTGAATTTTTTTCCAGTGTATCCGGGACATACTCCTCCTTGGTCATCGTCAGGCCTTCGCCTGGATCGACGAGTGGGTGGAGATGTCTATAGAAGACGTCCGGGAGTACGAAAAGAAGATGCATGCAGCGACAAACCAAAAAATGCAGTTCAAAACCGAAGAGGAAATCAACTCCACATCGGCAAAACCACTTGGATCCACTCCGTCCTCACCCAAAAGTCCGAATGAATCTGCTAATCGTTCTTGGTTCTCTTGGTCGTAACTGGAGAGTTTTAATTAAATGATAATCACTAGTGATTATTGTTTAGTGATACTGATGGTCCTAATTATTTCTTTCTAGTGTAAATAATTTCATTGCAATTTTGTGATTGAGAAGAAATTAGGTTTTTCTAGGACATTCTGAGTCACAACCATATGAATATCTCGAAATGAACATTTGGTCTATCGCAGAAAAATCTCGAAAACTTTGAAAAGAAAAGAAATTCCAATTTCTGAAAATGAGATGAAACGAGTATTTTGGTTGGTAAAATTTCCGGCGTTTTTCAAATGAGAAGACCATTTTCGCTTCTCTCCTTAAAAGATTCAGTGAAAGAGTGAATAATTGATCTTGATATTTTTTTCTAAAAACGTGATAATCTCCAGGAGGAGTGGTTCTACGTCAGAAAGTCGAAAGACATTTTTTACGAAATTTTCTGCTCTGCAAAAAAGATTTCTTTTACATTTTCTCGTAAAACCACTAGTTTTTAGAATAATTTCATTTTCAAGAAAACGTAATCATGGATTATTACCACTTGAATTTTGAATTGAATATCCGTCTCAGTTTTTTAGGACAATTCAGGAATTCAGAGAGATCGAATATTGTAGTGAAAGTTGTTGTATTCCTCGGGAAATTTTCAATGAAAAATACTGCTTATGAATCCTCTCATCTCCTTGAAAATATCGAGATATTTGCAATTTCCATCGAACCAAAATAAATCATTTTTTGGAATTTTTAAAGAATTTTCATAGATCAAATAGTTATCCAGATTTTTTTCCTGAAAAGAATGTTCTTGGCTATCCAATGGGCTTAATTTCGACCCCTCAAACTCTGGAGTGGGAGTCCTTGATCACAAAATTCTTCATTCATCACATGAATAGTCGACAAACTTAATTAAAAACCATTAAATAATTTTTTGGGCACTCTAAGAGCCCCAGATTTTTCAAATTCAGATCTGTGATCTCAAAAATGCGTTCGTCTTTTCCCGAAACTAATCGTTCTGTGCAAAATTATTTGTGTAATTTTGTTTTTGTCCAATACGTATTGAGTGAACAAAATTGAATTCTATAATGAAGCACGTGAAAGATCAAATATTTAAATAATTCATGATCGTTGATGAGCTTTACAATGTACTTGATTACAGGTTCGTTGAATTTGAGATGATACTGAAGAATTGAAACTGTAATTGTGTAATAAAAGTGTATGAAACAACAGTTTTGTGATTCTTCTGGTCATTATTTTCGAGTAGCCTCCATAACTAATTGAGATACAGAACAAAGTTGGCCGCAAAAGGTATTCAGTTTCAGTGATTAATCGAGATGGAAAAAAATGTTCTCACCGCGGCAACGGGACAACCGTACCAACGAAAACTCTCCCAACATGAAACACTACCGAAATAATCCCCACCAACATACATATTATGTCCTATCAATGTTACTAGGAGAACAGTGGCGCCATTCTAATTATTTGGCGCCAATCTTTTAACCTGGATCCGTTAGCCGCTAAACCTCCGGTGAGGACTCCATCCAAATTGACTCGTTGATGATCAGGATAATGGGATTATAGGGGTAGCTCGAAATAAATCGAATTGACAAGTGCTTGGAGAGCACAATCACACTTTTATTTAAAATATTTTATATCCAAACTTTAAAACTTTGCGCTAAAAATAAACTTTATAAATTTTGAAAAAAAACTCTAAAGATATTACTCGGAAAAACTAATTGAAGAGAGAAGCTGAAGGCTTATCGTAGAACAGCCACGATGGGACTAACTACAACTTAAACTTAACTTTAAGGGTTGGGTCCAACAACCCTCACTAGCCTACAAGTTGCGCACCTAAACCTGGCCCAGGGGAAAGAAAAAAGTGAAACCCAAGGGAAAACGGGTAAAAAGGAGAGCGTGTGACGTCGCAAGTTTTCCCCTCAGAGGGTTTTGGGCCCTCTCAGCGATACAATGAACAAAGGAGAGCCCACACTTGTCGAGCACATGCTACACAGGAACTTTCGAAATGAACAGAACTGAGATTTTAGGACTTGGGACCGTGACCATTAATTTTACTTTCCTCTCTTAATTTTGGATTTTTCAAGGTAAAGCCTTTTCGGTGACGAGTTTTGGAGGGAAATAAATTTGGAGTTAAACTCAAGTATTTGACATTTACAATTTTTTGCAACGGTTTTTCTCACGATTGTGGAGTTATTTTCTTCCTTTGTTCATTGTCCTTTCTTTCCCGTACTTCTCAGCATACTACGTTTTAAAAATTTCATTTTTAAAAATCATTTTCGAACCATAATTTGAATCTCGCAGATTTTTATGGCCGATTAATAGTGCCATCTACGAAATTCAACGTTGGGAAGTCACATACAAATCGAATCCACCAAACTGATTTTCCGACAAGCCTACCGCGTTAGGACACTATCGATGGTGCAACAGTACCGCGGGACAACTGCACCAATTGACAAGCCTGCCGAATTATACTCCTACCAATGGTGTTCGGAACACTGAATCCGTGGACTCTACCGCGGGACAACCGTACCAAGTGACAAGCCCATCGGATTATACCTCTACCGATCCTATCCATGAAATTGAATCCGTACAACTCCACCGCGGGACAACCGTACCAAGCAACAAGCAACTCCTGCTCCATTCCACATACACTACATACTTTCTCCCTTTCGCTCTTCTAGTATTCCGACTTCCTCATCCCCTCCCCCATTCTGAAACTAAACATCTTCGCCCACTTCCCTTTCTTTTTCATCGCCTGCAGATATTCGGGGATCCCATCCGATGTCCTACAGAACCTGTACCATCTATTAAATCTAGAGTGCACAATTTTCACCCACCTCTCCTCTCTCTCCTTCCTTTTCATTTCATCTTCGATCTCCTGCCATCCCTCTCTTTCTCTCAACTTCCACTCCCCCCATACACTCTTGCTCTTCTTCTCCCACTCGCTCAAGCCACTCTCCCTATCCTTCTCTCGCCTCTCAATCTATCTCAGACACTCCTTTGCCAACTTATTTCCTGCTTTCTTCCTCAACTTCCACTCAAAACTCCACGCTCCTTTCCTCATCCTTACACACGGACTCTCCCTATTTACCTCCTCCCTCACCATATACCCCGAACAGCACCTATTGTCTCCAAACACCCATTTCAAGAAACTCTTCCAATCTTTCCATTCTCTTACATCCCCCCCACCCCCACAACTCTACATCATAACTCATCACAGCCCATACCAAAATATCAAACATCCACACTCTCCTTTTCCAATTATCCTTAAACCTCCTCTTCCCAATTGCCTTTTCCATCATCCTCCCCGCTGCCTCCACTCTCATTTTCACGTGCAGGTAATCCCTTCCATTCTGCATCAACCAATACCCCAAATAACAGAATTCTCTCACCTCCTCCACTTCCCGTCCATTCATTCTCCACATTCTTACCACCTCATTCTTACTCTTTCTCTTCCGAAAAACCATAATTTTCGTCTTATCCACGTTCACCACCAGATCTACTTCCCTCACACATTCCTCAAAAACATTCATCATCATTCTCATCCCCCCTGCGAGTCCGATACCAACACGATATCCGCATACGCCAGATGATACACCCCTCCCTTCCCTTTTTTCGCCAGCTTCTTTTCCAGGCCCGATTGAAGAATTCGTAAGAGCAGCGGGCTCAACGGGCAGCCTTGTCTCAGCCACCTTTCCGTCCAAAACACCTCTCTTACCTCTCCTCCAAACTTAACCCTCCCTCTAGTTTCCCTGAATACCTCTTTTACTCTTTCTATCATGCATCTTTCTATCCCTCTTGCCCTCATTACCTCCCACAGCACCCCCCTGTTCACACTGTCGAATGCTGCCTTGAAGTCCACAAATAGCGCGAATAACCTCCCTCCCCTAACCTTCAACGCCCTATGAATGAAGAACTTCAAAACAAACACATTCTCCATTGTCCCCATCCCCTTCCTGAAACCCGCCTGATTGTGTGGAATAACTCTCTTTGTAACCTCCGCCTCTTTCAACCTCCTCCTCAGGAGCTCCATATAAACTTTATATGACGTCGGCATAAGAGTTACCCCCTAAAATGCTCCACTCTCTTTCCCTCCCCCTTCTTCAAAACCGGAGCAATCAAACCAACCTTCCATTCCTCTGGCCATCCCTCCCCCTTCCACACTTTCTTACACACTTCCCATACCACCCGCAGCTCCACGTCCCCGCCCCACCTCAAAGTCTTATTTTCATTCTCATTCATCCCTGGCGCTTTTCTTTCCTTCAGGTTTCCCATCACCTTACCCACCTCTTCTAAACTCGGCGCCCCCAAATCTCCCCCCTCTACTCTTTTTCTACCTTACCCAACACTACTCATACCATTCACAGATTCTTATTTTATCACATATACCTTTTTCCTTCTTTCTTTCTCTATTTATAACTTCCCATTCACGCCCTTCCCTCACTGCCAGTTCAACCTCCTTCTCATATCTCTCTCTCTCTCTCTCTCTCTCTCTCTCTCTCTCTC